TGATGAAAAATAAGTCGGATCAACCGTCCTACGACCAAACTTTACCCATCTGGGTTATAGTCTATGGATCCAAAGGTTATCACAACAGCATACCGAAGAGTGTTTGGACAAGTTGGTACAGCTTTGTGAGTGGTGGTGTTCATATAAATTCTGCGCTTACTCTCGAAAAACAGCCGACTGTTGCCACTTCAGCGGTAACGAAAAAGTAAGTTGATGATATCCAAACATCATTACAGACAAATATCGATACAAAAGCGACAAAGACGGCGTTGACAAACGCAACAAAAAAGATCTGGTATCGTGGAAACTGCGCTCATAACAACGCGTCGCAGGTAACATTTTACGTAAATGGCACATCAGATCATTCCACAAACGTAACACAGAGTGATAATGCTGATTTTACAGTGAACAGTTCAGACAATACAAAACTCATAGTCGTAAACGCCGGTCTGTATCTGGTCACATACATCGATGGTGTCAAGTCCCAACATCTACATAATCTCAAGTTTACCTTGAGCAATTCGTTTGTGAGAACGGCAAGCGGCATATTGAAGCCGTTGCCCAACACAAGAAAGGCTTGGGTTAATACCGCTAATTCCGTTTTGTTGTATTTCCAAGCGAACACATCGCTGAGCATAGCAACTGATAACAGCGCTACTCTACTTGATGGACTGGCTTGGAGTCATCTGTTGATCGTGAAGCAGGATTAATCACCTTTGAAAAAAAGCTAATTTTATTATGAGTAACTCATAATAAAATGTCTGACGCAGAATCGAAGATTTTCAACTTTAATCACATCGACTACTCTATCGGTGATGAAAAGATCGATGAACTCAAGGCTCTATACAAACACTACCACAAAAAGTGGTGGTGCTCGCGCAAGATTTTCACAATCTTCAAACGAAAGAGTCTTTTCTGTAAACTGGGGAGTACCACGCTCATCATTGTTGGTGGGATAGCCGGTGGAGTAACCCTAAATCCGATACCCCTCGCTACAATATCTGGCGCCGGTCTCCTTCTCAAAACGTTTACAGAAGTGAAAAAGTTTGACCAAAAGATCAATATGAGCAAATTCGCTTTCACGACCTATGAAAAGATCTTGACCGATCTGAGAAGCTATCTGAGAGGAAGGGACTTCAACAGCGCTTCGTTCCTCGATGAGGTGAAGCAAATCGATGACACCATCACAGATCTATGCCCGATATTTCAGTCGAACAAAATCCTCAAGCAGTATGAAAAACGCTTCGGTAACCTCTAAGGTAGACCTCTTCCCCAAAGCTTCGCTTCGGTGCTTTCCTTTTTTGAAACAAAAAGGAAAAAAAGGTTGGAGATTGTCTGTTTCACAAATCTCTGCGAAAATTAACATCGACCCAGGCGGGTAGTGGTTTTAAAAATCCGCTGCATAACTGTCTCTGCGAAAAATAACATCGACCCAAGCGGGGAGTGGTTTTAAAAAACCACCGCAGCACTGTCTCTGAGTCAATTGCATTGATAAATAATCCCTACCACCAGATAGAAACATGGTGAAGAGGGCTTTCTTTTGTTTCTTTGTGAGAAGATCCATTGCTTCTTTGCGAGCTATGAACTTAGGAATGTCTCGGTCATATATGCGAAGGTACATGTCTGAGACCGGCTCTTCCTCAACCTCTTCCTCAACCTCTTCCTCAACCTCTTCCTCAACCTCTTCCTTAACCTTTTCAAATATGATCTTGTCTTCTTCAACAATAACTTTGTAACTTGTGAGTTTCGGCATGATTGTAATACTTGTAATGAGCTGTGTTTTTAGTATCTTTTGTAACTACTCAAGAGAAAAAAAATCAAAAAAATGAAAAACAAATTTTACCACTTAAGTGGTGGGGTAAGTGCAACTTTTTGTTTTCACTTTTTTTTACATCATTAGCAACTTAACTTACCACTTAAGTGGTAAGTGCACCTTTTCCTTTTTCGTTTCAAAAAAGGAAAAAAAGAAGACCTTCGGTCTTAGACCTCTTTGAGGTATTATTCTTCAATGTCTAGCTCTTCTTCATCTTCGAGTTCATCTTCTTCAAGAACGGCCAATGGCTGTACCTGTGTGTGCGGCAATCGATGCACGTATACATCGTTTACTTTCAGCTGTACCGATGCGTAATCATCACCCAGATAGATACTATCAACCACAATGCTCATTTTTACCTTACAGTAATCAAGACATTCGAGCGGGTTCACTTTTGATTCTTCTTTTGAGTGAAAGAGGGTACGTATCTTACCAGACTTTTGACTAAACATAAGTCTTGGATATAGTACCGGCGCTTTCCCCTCTTTCTCCACCAGTGGAAACTTTATGCTCTCTGCCACGTCTGTGTCATAAACCTCGTCTAGATATTGATAGCAAATATGCTTCAACTCTTTCAATGCTTCATAGAAGGCAAATTCTTTCTGCGTTGGTTCACCCTCTTGGTGATTCCACAGAGGAGTGGGTAGTGTGTAGCCTACGACATCCCCACTCTTACTCAAGCTTGGCTGTACACCAAACGAGAATCGAAAAGGTGAAGCTATCACCAACGGTTCGGCAGCAGTTGCTCCGTGGGGTTTGATCTTGATGTTGACACGCTGGTGACCGTGTTGGTTAGTGACCGCCTCTTCAAAGATAACATTATCACGCGTAATACTTTTGAGACTTGAGAGTTGCATGTTTTGTAAATCTGTAATGTGCTTTACTTTTTGTTCGCTTTAGTTGCTTTTTGTAACATTACAGAGAAAAAAAATCAAAAAAAAATCAAAAAATCAAGGGTGGTTTTAGACCGACCAAAAAAAATCAACGCACATTTTCTATGATAGTATTACAAAAGACTAAAGTATGGTTAACATACCAAAACTGACTACCCATGAGGTTCGAAAAAGGAGGATTCCTGGCGTTAACTTTCTCGATGAGGACTATAGAATGTTGATAGCGGGTCAAAGCGGTAGCGGTAAGACGAATACCCTGTGCTATATGTTGAGGTCCCCGCTTGTACCATATGACGAAATATATATCTATACCCCAAATATTCACCAAGACCTGATACAAGACCTTGTGAAGATCATGCATCGATATTCGCAAAAACTAGGTTATCAGATTTTACATCTGATGGATCCTGATCAAATCCTCGATACAACTGAGTACCCCAGCGAGAGTCGAAAGGTTGTGATTTTTGATGATCTGATAACAGCCCCGAAAGCGCTCCAAAGTAAAATCGCCAAGCACTTCGTTGATGGACGTCATCATAAAATAAGTCCAGTGTACATATCCCAATCGTATTATGATACACCTAGAATCATCAGATTAAATTGTTCTCACATGATCGTATATTTACCACCGACACAGGAGCACCGTAGGTTAATCGCCAAGGAGAACTGCTTTGATGTAAGTGCTTTTTCAGCGTTGAAACCCTATGATTTCTTGTTTTGCGATAAGATAAAGGGCACCTGTGCACGAAATTTTGATGAAAAAATATAAAACACAATACTAAGTACTAAGATAACAAAACTCGAAAATGAAAACTTACTGCGTAAAGCAAAAGAAAAAGACTGATAGCGTGCCTGGATCTGAAAGGCATGAGGTTGCGAAAAATGGTCGGTCGATGATCAAATCGAAATGTGCCGAGTGTGGCATTACCAAAGTTTCTTTTACAGGAGGTGGGGAAAAAAAAAAGGCGGGACGCTCTTTGAGGATGTAGGGCGAACCAGCACCTCGTTGGGTGAGATGGCTGTGAAGGGGCTAGCGAACATGGCTCAGCTAGGACTTGCAAACGCTGTCAAATCCGACTATGCGAAGAGCAAGTTCAAAAAGACGGCGAGCAAGTATGTCGATCAGGCTCTCGATGCGTTTGTTAACGATATGAGCAAAAAGATAAGAGGGGGTGGGACATCTGCGATGTACAACGCGTACGATGTAAATCAGATACTACCGATGTCGATGTATGCACCTGGTGGAGTAAATGATCCAACAAACCCTCTTTACGAAGGTGGAGCCTTTGATATTCACAAAGCGATTGGCAAACTACCGAAACCGAAAAGCGGCTGGACGCTGCCAGGTCACAAATATACCGGTCCCTACAACGACCTTGATAGTCAACTGCGCTTCGATCCAAAGACTGGCAAGATTCTTGAGATCTATGACCCACCAGCAGGTCCGAGTGATGCAGTCGCAATGCAACACGACGTTGATTACAGCGTTTGTGCAAACAAGGCAAACCCAAAAGCGTGTAAGAATGAGGCTGATCGCAAGATGGTGAAAGCACTCGATGCGATACCGTACGATCAGAGGCAGTGGGGTCATTGGCTTGCGAGAAACGTAATCAACACCAAACAAAAGCTAGGCCTGGGTGTGGGTGTGGGTGGAAAAAAAAATTTGACACGCAAGCCGAAGGCTGGGAAGCGAAGCCCCAAAGGGGCTGGCAGGACTCGTTAACGAGTCTAGCAGATGAGCTTCATAAACCCATCAGACGAAACTTTACAAAGCGACGCGTTATTGTGAACGGTATTGATGATATTTGGTGCTCTGACTTGGTGGAGATGCAAAAGTTTGCAAAGTGGAACAAAGGCTACAGGTATTTGTTGATGGTGTTGGACATTTTCAGCAAGTATGGCTAATTGAGTTTATCAAAAACCCCCCTCTTCCTCGTGCAAGACACATTGGTGTGAGGAAAAGGGTGACACTTCGACCTGTAGAAGGTGATACTTCATCTGAATTCGTTTTCCCTTCAATTAGTGCCGCTGCAAAACATTTCAATGTAAACCCTGGAGTGTTTGGTAAAAAGCTGATATCGCGCAAAGAAAGTACAAGAAACTTTATTAAACTTGATGGAAAGAAATTTGCTCTCCGTTTCGAAGCCTACTGTGTGAAAGAAAATCACTAGTAGTAGAAGAAGAGTAATTCACCGAGAGTTTTCATCACTTGAAACGAGTGATGAAAAAAAATGAAAAAATGTCAAAAAAATGGTTAAAAAAAATATTTCACATTATATAAGGTAAAAAACAACATGGAAAAACACACTGTTGTACAACTTCGTCAAATTGCAAAGGAGAATGGTCTCCACGGCTATTCAAAGCTTCGAAAAGATGAGCTTATCGGGCTCATTCAATTCAATTCATTGAATCACCACGGCAGTGCTGCGGTTTCCAAGCCGCAGAAGCAGTATAGAAAAATCAAGTTCGTCTGGAATCACTCAGGTGGTGGCTCTCTACTCGACGCACCGATACCCGCGCATGAAATACCTAAAGTAGATATATTAAAACCAACACCAGCACCAAAGACGATAAAAAAAATCGAAAAGGCTGTTGATTGGGGGAAAAAAAAGGTTGAAGATTGGGGTCAGTGGTTGAAGAAAGAGGTGTCAAACACACCGCGAGCAGTCGATGACAAGTTGAAAGATTTCAAAGAGCATATCAATGAACTCTACAAGACAAGTGACCAGCCCCGTTTTAAAATTTTTCCAAAAAAGTCTTTATTGAAACACTATGTAAAGATGTACACGATTGATGGGGTAGATGGTTACACACCGTTAGACTTTCTTGAGGCTGTAAAACCAACCGTTATCAACTTTTTGAATACACAAAAAAATATCAAGATGGAGTTCTTTCTGAGATGTTATATGATAAAGAAACCTAATGATATGGGTGAGGTTGAGGGACAGGATGTATATTTTACATCTTTTCAAAAGATCGTTATTGATGGGAGTGATCGAGAAGAAATTTATGAAGAATGTGTGAAGAAAATGATGGAGAGTTTGGCTGTGTTTACAAGAGAAGGGAGTGGGTGGACTGTCCATTCTGTTGAGGGTTTGGATTTGTACACGGCGAAATACAATCCTTTGAAAGGTTCTTCTTACTTTAAGCTACCAAAACATCTCGCAGCAAAGATGGCTATCATAAACATGAAGAATGAGGATGATGAGTGTTTCAAATGGTGTGTGACACGTGCGTTGAATCCTGTAAAAAAGGATCAAGAGCGTATCTCAAAGACATTGGAAGAGCAGGCAAAGAAGCTTGTGTGGGATGGCATCGATTTTCCAATGGAGGTGAAGAGCATTGGCCGCTTTGAAAAGTTGAATCCGGGGATTACTGTCAACGTATACATGTTTGAAGATAGGCTCAATCCTTTGAGAGTGAGCAGTGAAGCTCCTGGACTTCGCTCTAGTAAGACTCATATTGATCTTCTTCTAATTACTGAAGGTGATAAAAAACATTATTGTCTCATCAAAAATTTGAGTCGACTCGTATCGAGTCAGTTGTCAAAGAATAAAAACAAGAAGTTTATCTGTAGGAGATGTCTTAATTATTTCGGAACTCAGCGAGTTCTCGATAAACACGATGAGTTGTGCCGAGATCATGAGGCTGTGAGAGAGAAGATGCCGAAAGCAGATACTTTTCTCTCTTTCAAGAATCATCACAAGAAGATGGACATGCCGTTCGTCATCTATGCAGACTTTGAGTCGTTAATCAAACCTTTAGACTCTGCTAAACCAAACCCAAAAGAGTGTTACACTGAAAAGAAGCAACAACATAAACCGGTAAGTTTCTGTTACTACATCAAATGCTCATTTGACGATAGATACTCGAAACTGGTTGAATACACAGCAAAGTCTGAGGATGAAGATGTGGCGCAAAAATTCGTTGAAATGCTTGAAGTGGAGGTTAAAGACATATACAAAAATCATCCTCCTAAAAAGATGATCTTCACAGACAGTGATGTTGAAAAGTTTGAAAATGCGATGTGTTGTTGGTTATGTAGAGAAGATTTCAAAGAGGGAGAGGACAAAGTGCGCGATCACTGTCATTACACCGGTAAATTTCGAGGGGCTGCGCATAACAGCTGCAACCTAAAATTCCGACGACCAAAATTCACACCTGTCGTCTTTCACAACTTGGCAAACTATGACGCTCATCTCTTCGTCAGAAATCTTGGTGTTTCAGAAGGAGACATTGATTGCATTCCTAACAACGAAGAAAAATACATCAGCTTCACCAAACACATTGTGGTTGACAAGTTTTTCGATAAAAAGAATAACAAAGACGTCGAGGTAAAGAGAGAGTTGAGGTTCATTGACAGCTTCAAATTCATGGCTTCCAGTCTTGACAAGCTTGTCAAGAACCTTGCCAAAAAGGGTGAGTCTTTTTTACAAAATACAGGAAAATATTATCCTGGAGAGAAGCTTAAACTGTTGATGAGAAAGGGTGTTTATCCTTATGAATGGTTGAAAACTATCAATAGACTTGATGAGACTGAACTTCCACCGATTGAAGCTTTCTTCTCTGTTCTCAGCGGTAGTGGTATAACAGAAGCGGAATATAATCATGCACAGAGGGTGTGGAAAACCTTTGGAATGAAAACGATGCGAGATTATCACAATCTCTACAATCGAAGTGATGTTCTTTTACTGGCCGATGTGTTTGAAAACTTTCGAAAAGTTTGCAAAGAGAACTACGATCTCGATCCTTGTTGGTACTACACCGCACCGGGTTTGGCTTGGGATGCTTGTCTCAAGTTGACTGAGATAGAACTTGAGTTGTTGAGTGATATAAATATGTTACACATGTTTGAGAAAGGTATTCGTGGAGGGATTTCGATGATTACAAAAAGATATGCAAAAGCAAATAACAAATACATGGGTGAAAAGTTTGACAAAAGCAAACCTTCAAGTTTCATCACATATCTCGATGCAAACAACCTTTACGGTTGGGCGATGAGTAAGAGTTTGCCGACGGGAGGTTTTGAATGGGTGGATGAGAAAGATTTTGGGGGGTGGGAGAGCTTCGCTTGCATTCTTGAGGTTGATTTACTCCCCATCAAAAAAGAGTTGTATGATTATTTCAATGACTATCCTCCAGCTCCTGAAAATCTGTTGATTGGGAAAGTGAAAAAACTGGTCTGTACCGTGAACGAAAAGAAGAAGTACATAGTTCACCATGAGACCTTGAAGCTTTACAAAAGTCTTGGAGTTGAGATTGGAAAGATCCACCGCGTCATCAAGTTCAATGAGAGTCCTTGGATGAAAAAGTACATTGATCTCAACACATCTTTGAGAGCCAAGGCCGATAACGATTTCGAAAAAGACTTTTTTAAACTCATGAACAACTCTGTATATGGCAAGACGATGGAGAATATTCGGAACCGAGTTGATGTGAGACTTGTCAACTCAGAAGATAAGGCGAAGAAGTTGATAAATAAAGTGAACTTCAAACACTGTACCATATTTTCCGAGAATCTTGGTGCATTTCATATGAAAAAGACACAAATTTTCTTCAACAAACCCGTCTATCTCGGAATGTGTATCCTCGATCTCAGTAAGACATTGATGTACGATTTTCACTACAACTTTATCAAACGCAAATACAGAGACAAAGCAGAGCTTCTCTTCACCGACACAGACTCACTTTGTTATGAGATTCACACATCAGATTTTTACAAAGATATCATCGATGACGTAGATCGTTTGTTTGACACGAGCAATATTCCAAAGGAGCATTCTTCTGGGATACCGACCGGTGTAAACAAGAAAGTTATTGGAATGTTCAACGATGAAGCTGGAGGAAAAATTATTGAAAAGTTTATCGGTCTGAGAGCGAAGCTTTACAGCTACAAAATGTTTGAAGATGGAAAAGAAGAGAAGAAGTGTAAGGGAGTGAAGAAAGGAGTGGTAGAGAGCACCATATGCTATGATGACTATGAGAGATGTCTGTTTGACGGTGAAAAACAGCTTCGGAAAATGAACACGTTACGAAGTCGAAAGCATGATATGTTTATGGAAGAGATCAATAAAGTCGCCCTGAGTGCAGATGATGACAAGCGAATCATTCTTCCAGACAAAATACACACACATGCGATAGGCATGTGAAATCAAACGTGAATATACAACAATTATGTGAACAATTATGTAAAAAAACCAAAGAACAACTTGAAATGCAATAAGCGTATATTCACAATAATTTGACAAAAATGCTAAAAAATATGCTGAAAGAAATCTCACGAAAGTGATAAATTATCATGTATGCATGATAATTTTAACGAAAGTATGTTAGAACCCTCAAACTGAGGCCCTGACCAAAAACTATGGGCAATAAACCCAAGAACAAGGCCAAGGACGGGCAAAGAGCGGGCCGGGGGG